TCTCTCTCTCTCTCTCTCTCTCTCTCTCTCTCTCTCTCTCTCCCCACTTTGGTGCGCTCTGTTCCATCTTTGCCCTCCATGTTTTCCCCGTCTTTTGTTCTGCTCTTCTCTTTTCACTCGTCCTCTCCTTCATCCTTTTTCGTCTGTTTGCTTAATCTCTTTGGACTTGTCAATGCTTCGCTTTTTGCTTCCCCCTCTCTCTCCCCTTTTTCCGAACTGAGCTAGGCCAATTGGTGGATTTTCCCTCAATCCGTGTCTCTTTTCTTGACTGTTCTTCTTATCTCTCTGTCTGTTTTTTGTTTTTTTTTTTGCTTGCTTGATTTCGCTTCTTTCAGGACCCCAGCATCAAGGAGATGGCAGAACAGATTGCCAAAGATCCGGAGTTCACAAAGATGGCCCAACAGCTGCAAAGAGACATCGGCAGCACAGGGCCGGAGGCGCCGCCTGCTCCCATTGATCCTGAGCAGTACATGAACGCCATGCGCACGGTTATGCAAAATCCACAATTCATGACGATTGCCGAGCGCCTTGGAAATGCCCTTATGCAGGTACAAAGAGTTCCGCAAAGTATATATCTTCATATTCCTGCGGGATGGTGGGTGGCGGTGGGGGGGTGGGGGTGGGGGGGGGTCGTGGAGGGGCGTTACGGGGGACCCAGAGGGAAGGGGGGGGTAGATGTGAAGGAAAGGACTGACCAATGGAAGGAACTGGAAGTTGTTGTGGTAGACTGGTGGGTTGGGGAAAGTTGTAAGTGTGTGTGTGTGTGTGTGTGTGTGTGTGTGTGTGTGTGTGTGTGTGTGTGGTTTTGTGTGTGTGTTTAATTGAACATCCTGTGAAAACATGTATGTGTGTTTTTTGTGTATGTGTTCGCCTGGTTCTGAATTCCACATCCGCAAAGGGATGCCTGGCTGCGACGAAGCAGGCCGATCCATTAGCATTTTATGGATTCGTCAAGTGGTTAAATAAATGCGACTGCATGCGACTGCTTCTGTATGTGCTTTTGTGTACGTGTTTACCTGTCTCGACTTGTTGCTTTGTGGCTCGATGAAAAGTGACGACAGCTTTATTTTGACTTGATGATGGATGTCCTTGTTTTTATCTTTCTTTCTTGGACTTGCATTTCAATGATCTCCACCTGCCTCTTTGGTGTTCAGGACCCAGCCATGGCAAACATGCTTCAAAGCATCTGCAACCCTCAGCATCGTGCGGACATGGAGAAGAGGCTAGCTGCGATCCGACAGGATCCATCGCTGAAGCCCATCATCGAGGAGATTGAAAGCGGCGGGCCAGCTGCTATGATGAAGTATGCACTCATTGTCGAACCTTTTCCGCCTTGTGTCGACCAGCTTCTCCGCTTTCTGCATTTCTATTTGTTTCGGTTGTCTCTTTGTTTGGGAAGAAATTGTGCAAGAACTCGCTCCTAACTCAGTCTGTTTTTTTTTCTTTCTTTCTGAGATGAATTGGATTCTTTTTCAATCTGTTTTCCGGATTAGCATGAGCTTTCGCAACTGTGTTTGAAGGGTATATGTGTGTGTGTGTGTGTTTTTTTAAAGCAACCAGTACTCAGCCCAATAGAGTAGGAAGTACTAGCAACGTTTCTAGTCGGATGAATTTGGGCGCTCCTGTAGTGCCCCGTACGTTTCCTAAAATTGTGGCTTCTTAACAAACACGACTTTAGGAAGTACTGGTGGTTTAATGGGACCATGCGCCAATCTATTCGTGGGGAGCAGCACATGCTGGGATATATATATCTCCCTCTCTGCCTACGGTTTACCGGGCAGTTCTATTTGACGATATATATATGTGACGATATATATCGTCACAAACAGAACTGCCYGGTAAACCGTAGGCAGAGAGAGAGAAGAGGGACCCTCAACAGTCTGCAGAATCCCCTCACTGATTACACTGTAAATGATAATCTACCTTAACCAAAATCAAAGTAGACTATCACTCACCCACACCAGATGGAAAACTCTACAGACTGTCGGTTCACACCCCATCACAAGCAACAACCAAGCAAAACATCCACGAAACAAAGAAAGGTCTGTCACAGCCAAAAAATACACTACAGACACGCCGCTGGCACTAGAGGCATTTATATATATATCGTCAAATAGAACTGCCCGGTAAACCGTAGGCAGAGAGGGAGAAGAGGACAACAAACGAGGGGCTGTGACAAATATCGTCAAACAGAGCTGCGTACGGTAAACCGTAGGCAGAGAGGGAGAAGGGAGAAGAGGACAACAAACGAGGGAGGGGCTGTGATAAACTGTTTCGTCGGAGTTTCACCGACTCATCAGGAGGCTAATATATATATATTACCGGGCAGTTCTGTTTGTGACGATATATATATTGTGACGATATATATATATATTCTATTTGACGATATATATAGGGTTCAGCCTCCTGATGAGTCGGTGAAACTCCGACGAAACAGTTTGTCACAGCCCCTCATTTGTTGTCCTCTTCTCCCTCTCTGCCTACGGTTTACCGGGCAGTTCTGTTTCACAGCCCCTCGTTTGTTGTCCTCTTCTCTCTCTCTGCCTACGGTTTACCGGGCAGTTCTATTTGACGATATATATGAGCTGTCAAGTATCTATTCCCAAGTCAAGAGTTTGAGGCCGTTTGATAGTGTAAGTATCAGCTAAGTCAAAATTTTGGATTTGTCGTCAGAATTTGTGACTTTGCGTGAGAGACAGGTCTAACCTCCTCAATAGCGGCAAGATGGACTGTGTTTTTTTTTTTTCACTTTTCTCTTTTAAAACAGGGCTCTTTCTATTCAGGGGAGTGGCAGTCCGGTTCCTTCTCCACCGGGACCGTAGTTTTTGGTTTTGCTGATTAACTTATTTTCTATGTTTGTTTCTGCGAAATCTATTGCCATATTATTCCCTTCCCCCCTCTCGCCCCCCGCCCCCCCCCCCCCCCCCCCCCCCCCCCCCCCCCCCCCCCCCCCCAACCCCCCTTCCCATTGTTCCTCCTGCTTAATTTGATTTCTAATAGCTGCATCTGGTCGCCTTTTCGTCCAGGTACTGGAATGACCCAGTCGTCCTCGGCAAGTTGGGCAAGGTCATGGGTGTTGCCATTGATGGCGACACAGCTGCTGGAGTATTGCCAGCTGACGGCGAGCAAGTGGAAGGGGAGGGAGAGGAAGGTGAGGAGGAGGAGGACGAGTTGACCTTGCACTCTGCAGCAAGCACTGGCGACATAGAGGTGGGTGGTTCATACTGGTTATCGGACTTTCTTTTCCGTCCTTGCATGTGCATGTGTGGACATGGAATGGTGTGTCCCTTTTGAATACTTTTGAGCTACTTTGCAGACGGAACAGAGACAGAATTGCGACCTACCTTCTTCCCGCGAATACAACATATGGTTATTGTAGCTGTATCTAGACTGAAAGATGCCTCAAATACAGCTATATTGACCGTACGTTGTATTTGGGGGAAGAAGGTAGGTTATCGCATGTGCATGTGTCGACATGGGTTGATCTCCCTTTTTTGAACTTTTGCGCGACTTTGCGGAGTTAACAGAGAGACAGAATTGCAAACTAGGTTCTTGCATGTGCATGTGTCGACATGGATTGGGTGTGCCTTTTCTGGAGGTCTTGGATACGTGGTGGCATGAAATGCTTCGTAGCAATCAAATAGCTCACTTGTGCGGATAATATACGGGCCGATTGTGAATATGTTAACGTCTTGCTGTTGTGCATGAGAAAAGTCAGGCCAATGATAAGATATGGGGGCTGTCCCTTGGGTGGATTTACTCCTAGCTGTTGTTCGGCTGCATCTACAGTCCAAAGGCCATGCGCATGCGATCTCCACGAACATCAACTAAATTCGCAGTGGATCAACGAATCGCGGAGTCCCTTTATTCTTCAAAAGTCATAAAAAAACAGACCATTCTCTCTTAGCGGTCCTTATTTGGGTGCAGTCTTGCAGAAGGTTTGCAGACGGATTGCTATGAACATGCATAGCGGTGGTTAACAGTGTATGACAGTGGTTAAGAGTGGGTAACACTGGGTAACAGTGGTAAAGAGTAGTTAACAGTGGTTGGACGTGGATAACACGGAGTGGATGACATTGGATAACAGTGGATAACAGTGGGTGAGAGTGGATAACAGTGGGTGAGAGTGTCTAACAGTGCTTAGTGGTCACCCCTGGTTAACCTGTGGTGTACTGTGATTAGTGGTGGTTAACAGTGTTAACAGTGGATAACAGTGGATGAGATTGGACAAGAGTGGATAACAGCACATAAAAGTGGGTGGCATTGGCTAACAGTGACTAGTGGTTAACAGTGGTTAACAGTGGTTAACAGTGGTTAGCAGTGGTTAGCAGGGGATAACAGTGGGTGGATGACAGTGGATGAGATTGGAGAAGAGTGGATAACAGCAGATAAGTGCGTGGCATTGGCTAACAGTGGCTAGTGGTTAACCATGGTTAACAGTGGCTAACGGTGGCTAACAGTGGTTAGCAGTGGCTAACAGTGGTTAGCAGTGGTTAGCAGTGGCTAACAGTGGGATAACAGTGGGTGGATGACAGTGGATGAGATTGGAGAACTCTGGATAACAGAGGACAGCTGTGTGTTTGGGTGCAGGCTCTCAAGGCTCTTTTGGCTGAGAAGGATGTTGACAAAGACGAGAAGGACGCTGAAGGACGGACTGCCCTTCACTTCGCCTGTGGATACGGAGAGGTATGTGGAGCAGGGGAACATTGCCTGCCTGATGCGTTCGTCGCATGCCCCCAACACAACACAAATTACCCTTTGGCCAAATTTGTCACCCAAACTTTGAAGCTTTTCTTTTGTTCAGTGTGCTTGTCAGATTCAGTTGTTGTTGGTGCACTTACTTTATGGTCCTTGCTTCCGGCGCTACATTTGTTCCATGTCACAAACACGCTTGCTCTCCTCGCTTCCGTTGATGCATTTGTAGTATTTTGTACCATGTAAAAAGACAATTTGCAAACCATTATTTCCAAACCTGTTTTCCATCGTGATTTTGCCTCGAACGTTTGGTCCATGTCACAGACAACCTGCACTTGTGCAGCGTCTCTGAAGCGTTTTTTTTGTCGTTTTTTTGCACCTTTTGCCGCACGCGTGTGGGGTTTATGTCACAAGCACCTTGCACTCTCCAAAGCTATTGCCCTGTCCTTTCTCCATGCCTTGCCTCTTTTGCAGACACGAAGCTAATTATGTAGTCGTTTTAATTTTCCGTTTCTTTCCTTCTCTGCATGATCCTTGTGTGACATATGCGTGACATGCGTGCAACGTTTGTGTGACATTCGTGCGACGTTTGTGTGACATGTGTAGTTAATTATTCCGTCTCTTTTCTTCCTTCTTTGTATGATTTGTGTGACCTTTGTGCGACGTTTGTGGCACATTTGTGTGACATTTGTGTGATCTTTGTTTGACCCTGTGGGCGATTGCAGCTGGCATGTGCTGAAGCTTTGTTGGAAGCAGGAGCAGGTGTAGATGCTGTTGACAACAACAAGAATACAGCGCTACACTATGCTGCTGGCTACGGAAGGAAAGAGTGCGTAGAACTGCTTGTGAAAAGCGGTGCTTCATGGTAAGCAGCTCTTCTCCAGCGGGATGAGCTGGACTCTCTCGTCGCCGAAACTGCTGGCAACGTCATCTTTCCCGCTTCGAGTTCCTTTCAACTCTTTTTTTTTTCCCTTGCAAGAAAAGAAGGGAGTAACCCATCATTTTTTTTATTTTTTTTTTTAAACAGGTCCTTATGGGCCCGGCTCCGCGTCCATTCTGGGAAGCGTCAGCCCGGTTCGTATTCTACCGGCAAGTCAATAGAATTACAAACAGTACGCACGCACGCTCGGTCCCTTTAAGGGAGGGAGTAACCTATCATATTATTGCATCCAATGGGAACTGAGGTCTTTTGGCTTTTGGGTACTCTGTAACTGTTCATTAAACTTTATTGACAGTGGAGCTAGGTTGCAAAGTCTGTCCAGGCTGGGCAGGAGAAGGTGGGGACGGGGAGGAGGGGCCGGCGGCCATTGGCCGGGTGACAAGATGGTGGAAGTATAGAGGGAGGTAACATGGCGGGTAGAGGAAGACAAGAAGAAGAAGAAGAAGAAGAAGAAATAGGAATGTAGGGGATATGGTGGAGGGGCTGGGGCTGGGGTTAGGGATCCCCGTGCCGGGGGTCCGGGGGTCTGGCGGTCAAACCCCCACCCCAGCTTGGACCCCGGGGATTTGCGCCAGTGGTGGCGGGGGTGGAAGGGGTAGGGGCAGGGGACAGGGATCCCCACGCCTGTGGCCGGGGGGTCAAAACCCTGCCCCGGCGCGCCCCCAGGGGATCCCCACCTGACAAGCCTGGTCCTGTGCATGGAGACCTGATGAACGAATGCATCGGAGGTTGGCGCTCGAAAATGAATTATGAAGTCATGGTTAGAAAAACTTCAAAAAAGTTCAGAAATCAACAATTTCAAGCGGTCATTTTTTTCGATTGCTCAGGCCGAACAGTTGCATTTGGAAACCTTCGAGAGTGAGAACTGTGGAGCAGGGAGTGCTCCTCTGAATAGGAAAAAGAGCCCTCAGGTGGAAGTCGAAACTCGGTATTTGGACAGTCCTTAGAAAGACTGTACGCCTCCCAGAGAGACTGGCAGGGTCATTTCTGTGGAAGGACGCCTAGAGTAATTGGGGCAATGTTGGGAGACGCGATCTTTTCCGGCTTACATCTCGTTGTCTTGTCGTCTGCATCTTTAATAATCAAGCCATGCCAAAAAAAAATAAAAAAAAATCACTTCACACCTTCTGAACTGTCAACCTTCTGTGCGAATCGATCTCGAGTCAACTTGTTTGTGTGTGCATAGTTGAATCCAGAAACGCTACAAAAAAAAAAAAAAAAAAAAAAAAAAAAAAAAAAAAAAAAAAAAAAAAAAAAAAAAAAAAAAAAAAACATTTTCCTCCAAATGCAATCTACCTGGATCGCATATGTACACTCGTTAACTTTCCAGTTTGATAGAGGAGAGATGAGGGTGTGTTTTTTGGGGGTAGATGGCATCTCTCTCTCTCTCACACACACACACACACACACACAC